GGGGGGCAAAATGTAGCCGTTGTTGTTGTGATTTGGTATTAACAACAACATAGTCAATTTTTTTTTCTTTTTGCTCTTCGATGTTATCGGCGAGTGTGGAGTAGCGGTTAGACACTTTCCCATCGCTGACAGTCAGACAACACGAGTTTGATTTCTGCTCCTGGGTAAATTTTTATCGAGTCTTTCACCAGGGATGTTGTATCTATCTCGTCCTTATAATAAATAATCTGACAGAGTTTTCTACGTACAAACTGAAATGTACGGTTACATCGCACTACGACCCAACGTGTGAGTTTTTGTGACTGTTTGTTACTGTTTTACGGATTCACCAACATGGTTTAGACGGGCAGCTTTGATTCTAGCTTTCAGAATTTGTCAGGGATAAGTAGGATACATACGGTACAACATTTTAGCGGACAGGAGATGCTCATTACAATTTTCCCACTCGGGCGGGAGTTGGACTCATGTCGGTGAATTGTGGGTAATAAAAATAAACGAAGCATAACTATATTATAAATAGTTAAGTCGCTTTCTGCAGTAGGTTTCTGTTATTTTCATTGTCCACAACTCACGGATCAAAAATAAAAGAGAAAGCACGTGGCCAAATGTCTTGCCATAGTGAGGAACTGGACTAATTGGAGCACCATAGACGAGTGGCGGAGGGTAGTGAAGGGCTCATGGGCTTGAGCCCCTCTCCATATCCCCCAACTCTACCCTAAAGTAAATGATAGTTTCTTAAATAACGAAATAAGCAGTAAAAGCCGTTATGATCGCCCGCAATGAACACAAAGTGATCAACTTGGCGTCTTGGGAGTTTATCCAATCACCGTTGTCACCTCTTACAACTATAGTAAGCTAACAACCATTCAAATGTTTTTAGGGCTCAGCAAAATATGAGCCCGTTCCCACGACCCTTCCTTAATGAAACTCTTCCTGTAAAAGCTAGAAAATTTGGAAAAAGAACACTGTACTGAGGGCCCTCGCTCTCCTTGCCCTGACAATTGGGTGAAAGTTTACGAAACACATTCCCCCAGAGACACAGTTTCCTGTGCGCTCATTGGACCTTTGTTAGGTGCGTTCTACTTTTAGCGAATACACAGCCTTATCCAGTTCATAGACGGAATATGTTTGAAGTGCTGTTTGGGCATGTTTGTGTTTGTGCCGCTGAGATGTAACGGTAATCACGTCGAACCAGATGAACTTAGAAGAAA